ATATATATATATATAGAGGGTGTTCAATCTCTAATAAAAACTAATTGTCACAATGTGAAAATAATAACAGTAATAATGATAATGAGGAGGTACTATGCATAAACAAACTAAAAAGAAAGCTCGACACAACGATAGAGGAATAGGTAAGTAAATTATTAAAGTATGAAAACAGTAATAATTACAAATGAAGGAATACCTCATTATTGATTATGATTGTTTTAAATCCATCTAAATGTGATGCTGGTGATGTACTTAAGTTCTGGGAACTGTGGAGATTATTCCTATTGTCAGTATTGATAGAATGATCACTAATGAGTGATGTGATCCCTATTTATTTTTTTTAAAAAAGAGTAAATGAAAGTTTAAAAAAAATTAAAAATTGGTGTTTTCTAATCCAGTTCTTTCTTTTCATGTATTGTTTGCTTAGTTTGTGAATTCATTTAGAATGGGAAATACCACTGGGGCTGTTCTGGCATTTATTTACTACTAATAAATTTTAATAATGTACCTTTTTTTTTTCTTTCTCATTGGGCTTTTTATTTAATTTTTTCCATTTAACTTTGCTCTCATTGGAATTCCAAAAAATTATCCTCCCTTTTTAATGGACTAAGTTTTTGTAATTTGTAGCTAATTTTCAAATTTTCGTTTTTTACTTCTAGATTCATGGTCTGCCCAATTTTGAAACAGTTGTTATAATTAAAATGTCTTTATCAAAGAGAGTTCAAGGGATTCTTTCAAAACAAGATCATTTGACAAGTTGTGCAGAATTGGTTAATTCAGATTTGTATGATGTAAGAGAAAATCCTAAGGTTTGTAGTTTTTTTCTTGTGGTAACTAAGAGTGAGCAAGATTGTTAACTTGTTTAACCAAGTACGAGTCAGTGGAGAGCTAGTACCACTGACTCGTTCTTGGTTAAATAAGTTAAAAATGTTGCTTCAAGCTGACCTTATATTGTTATAAAATAGAGCTAGTTTCAAGCTTACCTTATATTGTTATAAAATAGCAACATTGTTAACTTGTTTGACAAAATATGAGTTTGTAGTATTAACCCTGTTTCATTAAATAAGCTTTTCTTGTTTATAATTTTTATATAGATAGACACAAAATTTTAAATTATTGAAAAAGTTCGCCATAGATTTTCTTATAAATCTTTACTGATATAGAATGTACTAAAACTATGTATGAGACCAAAATTAAATAATAGGTCGAACAATCACTAGGTTTTTTATATTTTTATTTAAAGAAGGATAAAGTTTTGAGCTTTTTGTCAGATAGTACAGTTTATAACAACTATATTTGTCTATGTACTTAAGTAATGCTGTGATACGCAGTAAGGCATTTTTAATTTGTGGAGTATATTTGTCGCTAGTGTGTCATGATGAAAGGGGAATTTTTTTATGCTGTTATGTATAATTAGTAGCAGATAATAATTATTGGTAAAACTGCCTACAAATTAATGTCTGTTTCAAATATTACTGTTCTTTGTTCTTTATTGGCTAGTCATTTATTTATATTTTTGATATTTACTAATTGTACAAGACATGGGACATTTGTAATTCTTTCAAAATTGAAAATAAACTTCTTTAAAAGATGTACAGAATAATTGCAATGGCTTTTAGTTTTATTTACAATAAATGCAAGGTAATGCATGTTGGTTAGTACAATTTGAATTATAAGTATAATTTGGATGGGAATAACCTTAAAATGTTATGAAAAAATATGTTAGTTTTATGTTTGATCAGGCTGTTTAATTTATGCTATCCAGCAATGTGCTTTTGCTAATCATAGGGTTTTTATGTTGTATCAACAGAAATATTTAACAATTGTACAAAGATATTATATTTTTATTGTATAGTTCATTGGTTAGGCCACATTTGGAGTATTGTGTTCAGTCCTGAGTGCTGCAATTTAGGAAGGATACTGAAATGTTGGAGTAAGTTCAAAGGAGGGTTACCAGGATGATCCCTGGGATGGAGAGGTTGACAAATTAGGACTGGTTCTTGAAAAAATAAGAGATAGAGGTGTTTGAGATTGTTAAGGGAATTAATTGGTAGTGTTAATGCATCATCTTTTTTTTTTGTACTTAATATGTGATGGTAGGCCTAGGAGACACAAATACAATTTTTTCCAGAGTATGAGACATTATCAACTAAAACAGTTTTACTTTTCTGATGGGGTGGTTGGCTTTTCAAATTGGTTGCCTTCAGATATGGTTGATGCAGTTAATTTAAGGAAAGTCTTGATAAATGAGACAGACTTGATGTACAACAGACCTGTTGTTGTCCTTAAATGATATGTTATAATTTGGACAAATATTTAGCAAATATTTTTTAATTATACCAAGTGCAAGGCAATGCAGTTGGGTTACCATAATTTGGATTGCACATTTAATATAGATGGGAACTATTGAAGCAGTGCTGTGTTACTAGTAGTGAAACTTATAGAAGTGTGTGTTGTATTAATAGATGTATTTATTACAATATAAAAAAGTGATTATCTCTAATTAGGCCTCACTTTGAAAATATGGACGGATGTACATGCTTGGTTTCTTTATCTAAGTAAGTAAATTGTCTTATTGGAAAGGGTTCAGAGGAAGACTCTTACAAGTTACAGGATGATTTTAGAGATGAAAAGATTATCTTACATTAATAGTTAGTTGGTTAAGATCAGTATTTTCAGTAGCCTTATTGCGTTTACAAGATTATCTGGGGATTGCTAGAATAAAGGCTTCTGATTGCTTTATGCTATATTTTAAAGATAACAGGGTGACATGACAGAACTTTAAAATTTAGAAGAGACAGGCTAGGCACCAGTAAAACAGCTTTATTTTTCAACAGTGTGATTGATTTAGGGAATGAATTACTGTTGGTAGCAGTGAGGGCCAGAACTTTACAGTAAATTAAGATGGGAATTGATGGTTTTCAAAAGATTAAAGATTAGGTGTAAGGTTTTACTTTTTTCAAGTTTAGGTGTACAAGGATAGCCTTGAGGGACCAAGTGGCCCCTTGTTGTCCGTAGGTTATATTACAGAATGTTTTATGTGCATACAACAGAAAAGTTAAATAAAGACTATTTAAGTTTTTTAATGTATCAAATATGGCCATTAAGAGAATGTTGTCATTATAGCCAAACACAACTGGTTGAAAAAATTTGTACATATACCAATCCCTCCAATGTTATTCTTCTCCACCAGTAACGTGCTGTAAATACCTCTTGTGAAAAGCTTGAAGTAACTTTATAACTTTTTTAAAATTGTACCCATTCTCTTGATATTGTTCTTCATACGTATTTTATTTGAATAAATGCACATGTTGTTTCGTACAGGAATTTAAATTTTTATAATTTAATTCAACATCTTAGGGTTATATCAGCTTTCAGAATGCTTTGAACGAGCTGTGTGTTGATGTCCTTGTTGAAAAGGTGAGTATTTGTTTTTTTATAAAAATGTTAAATTATAAAATTAAAAAAAAATTGGAATGTTATATAAATATACCAATTTGTTTCAACTAGAGCTGGGTAATTGGTGAAATTCGTTAATTGTCACTAGTCAGTTACTTTCAATTGATTATTCTCACAAGACTTTGATAGCTAGAATATTCAAATATAGTAACAATTAGAAACATTAATTTTGATTATTTTTGTGAGTCGCAGCATTAAGCGTTTAAGCAGAACAACTTAATTACTTGGAATATTTCATTATTTTACATGTTCGCTAATCAATATAAACAATGCTAATTGGCAGTTGATTAATCGGGTTAATGGCCAAGTTCTAGTTTCAAACAATAAAGTTATTGGTTTCCATGATTTTATGAGGATCTGTAAAATTAAAGCTTTTGCTTGTATTTGCAATTAACATACATGTACAAATAGCATAAATATAAATAATTATTTTCTTTAGATCTATAAGTTAGTATTTAAAATCAGCTATAATAATTCTAATTCATGTAATTTAGAATAGAAAAAAGTACAGGTTTATAAGATAATATCAGTACTTATTTAAAAGATTTTTATTTTTTGAGTGCCTTTTGTACCCTTTTATACATTCTGTTTTTTAAGAATGTTTTTTTTCTTACATGTTGGAACTTTTTTATTATTATTATTACGTCTCCATTCGTTAGTTAATTTCCCGTATAACTTCTTTCCGATGAAACTTTAGCGACACAAGTCCTTTCTTAAATAAAACTAGTTTATTCTTTCTCAATACAACTTTAAAATTCACTTAATTTCCACGGTCACACTATAACAAACGCTATAATTCACAACATACGACTCACCTGCTCGACTCAATCATCAATCTCTGTCTGCAGTTCAATTATGTTACATTGTTGCCATCACTTCTTACCGGTCTTTTTACACAAG